TGGGCCTGATCCAAGCCATAGTCTTTTCAGTGGCCTCATATGCATTCGAAAGCTGGACAATGAAATAGGTACACAGAAGAATTGATGCATTTCGACTGTGGTGTTGGCAAAGACTTCTGAACATACCGTAGACTGCCAGAAGAACAAACAAGGTCAGTTTTAGAAGACATACAATCAGAATGCTCCTCAGAAGCGAAGACAGTGAGACTTTGACTCACATCATCGGGAAAGGCCAATCGCTAGAAAAGGACGTGATGTTTGGTAGCGGGTCAGCGACAGGGAGGGAAACCCTCAGTGAGATGGATTGAGACGCCAGCTGCAACAATGGACTCAAATACATCAACGATCATGAAGAAGGCGCAGGACTGGGCAATGTTTCGTTCTGTTAGACTATAAGGTCGCTGTGGGTCAGAGTCGACTGAACGGCAACGAATGACAATGACTAATGATGTTGAGCATCTTCTCCTGTGCTTCCTGCCATCTGTGTATCTTCTTTGGAGAAATGTCTATTCAAATTTTTTACTCATGTTTTTAGTTGGGTTGTCTTTTTCTTAAATTTTTAGAGTCTTTATTCTGGATACAAGTCCCACAGTATTTTTAAATTAAAGGTAAGTCAGTTGATAAAATTATAGGTTCTTATTACTACCTCACTTCATTAACTTTGGAGTATTTTCAAGTTAGAACATATGTTTTTACTAAGTCCATGAAAATTTCACTTTAAATTTAGAATTACATACAAGTTGAACATTTTAAAGCAATCATTGCTTTTTCCAACAAATTTCAAGCCAGGAGCGAGGCGTGTGGGGATGCATAAATTAGGACAGACTTAAGGAGATGAATGCAATCTATGGAGCTTATCTGAAGCCTGAATCGAAGAAACTGCTAAAAAAAATTATGAGGCAGTTTTGAATGACTAGACAGTTACTGACATGAAGTCAACATTTTAAAGTGTGATAATATGATTGCACTAAGACTTAGGAATTCTCATTTTTTAGACGTATGTTCTGAAACATGTAGATAAAATTATTTGCTATGTGGTACTTGCTTCAAAATAATTTGGGCTTGGAAGAATGGTTGGCGTAGATAAATCAAGATTGGCCATAAATGAATCATTGTTGAACGAGTTTATACTATTTTACTTTTGTACATGTGAAATTTTCTATGAAAGGATAAAACACTTTAATGCCCACTATTTATAAGAGCACAGGTAGCTGGCAGAACTAAATGATACTACATAATTTTTTATTAAAGAATCATTAATTCCCGAAGTTCTCTCAAGAGCTCTGGGAAATAACTCATTAGCAGTGACGTATCTATACCAACTATGGTAGGAGCCCTGGTGGAAAAATGGTTAAGTGCTCGGCTGCTAACCAAAAGGTCAGTGGTTTGAACCTACCAGCAGCGCCACGGGGGAAAGATGCAGCAGTTCTACTCTGTCTTACAGGGTCGCTATGAGTCAATGGCACTGGGTTGGGTTGGGTTTGGTATCAACTATGGTACGTGCATAACAGGGTCAAAGCTCCAGCCTTCATCTCCTCACAAGACATCACCAAGGGAATAGACTCCTCACTGGAAGGGCAGAATAACTAGCCCCCACTGGCTACGGAAAATACTTCCAAGTAAGTACATGTCTAAGGAACTAATGTCACAGCGATCCCTCAGGCCACCCTATACTCGCCCAGATTTCATGCCCAACAGACATGGATCTAATGCCTTAGGACAGCTAGCTATAACTTGCACATGTAAAATGCACACCCACTAGGATGGCTATGATCAAAAAAAGCAAATTATGGCAAGAAACTGGAACAATCATGCATTGTGGCGGGAATATTTTTAAATGGTACAACCTCTTTGGAAAAGTTTGGAAGTTTCTTAAAAAATTAAATACAAATTTACCATACAACCCAACAATTCCATCCCTGGAATCTACGCGAGAGAAATGAAAACATATACCCACACAAAGGCACGCATGTGAGCGTTCCCATTACTCAGAATTACCAAAAATGTAGACCATCTACATGTCCGCAAGTGGGTGAATGAACAAAATGTCCTATATTCATAGAATAGAATACTATTCAACAATTAAAGGAATTTTCTACAGGTACATCCTGCGACATAGATGAACCTCAAAAACATTATGCTAAATGAAAGAAGCAGATGCAAAAAAAAAAAAAAAAATTACATGAACTCTCTAGAAATGGAAAATACAGAAAACAGATCTTCGGTTGTCTAAGGCTGCAAGGAGAAGCAGGAACTAACCTGATGAAGGAACTTTTCCGGCCGACAGAAACATTCTAGAGCTGGATTGTGGTGATGGTTGCTATCAATTTACTAAAATCATTGGATTTTACATTTACAATGGGTGAATTTTATGGTGTGTAAATTATACTTCAATAGCTTTTAAAAAAAAATACAACAGAATGACTATTTTGAAGCTCTGGCTGACAGCCTATTAATTTTCAATACAATGAATTTTAATCAGCTATTAGAATTAAAAATATTAGCAGTTGCTTGAAAACATGGTACTTTCAAAGGATTCCAAGGACACACACCTCTAAACCTTACTGATCAAATATTTAGCTATTCGCCACATAATTATGAGGCAAAATCTACGACTGCGTATGTTAGCAGTGGCCCTTAGCCATTTTAACTTTTCCCCCGACCTTCAAAAACAGGCAAACTCATTGTGGCTGAGTCGATTCCAACTCATAGCGACCCTATAGGACAGAGAAGAACTGCCCCACAGGGTTTCCAAGGGAGCAGCTGGTGGATTCGAACTGCTGAACATTTGATCAGCAGCCTGAGCTCTCACCCACTGTGCCACAAGGGCGCCCCCTAACCTTAGGCCCTGTGTACTTTTTTGTAAAAATCTCGTATGGTATTGCCAAGTTTTCCGTTAGACAGTTTTCTCAGAATTTCTATTTCATAACTGAAAAGCACACTGTAAATATCCACACTGAACATGCATTCATACATACACACATTCTCAACATAAAACACTGTTTTCTTCTTCCGTTTGGTGGCTCACATGCTGTACCTCATAACTTTTGAACTTCTCATTGTTTCAGATCAAGCTTTGCTTTCACTATTTTGGTTCAGATTTCTTGTCTGCTTTGAACGTATTCGATGGATTCTTCTTTTCCAAGCAGAGCTGTCTTTGGTGTTCAGGCAGGCCTTAATCTTGGCGAGACCCCCTTGCTGTCCTTTCCACTAAAGACTGGCCAGGAGGTCATACCCGCTCGGAAGCAGCCATTAAAGACACTGTGACAGAACACTTGCCCCCAGACCAAGTCTTATGCGCTGTACCTACGGCCCACAACAGGTAAGTGTAGAGGGCTACAGCTGAAGTGGGAGACACCCCGCCGGCGGTGGCCCACCCCCATGAAATACAGCAGCTCCAAGTCACAGCTTGAAAACCAGTGCTGGAAGCTGCTCTGTGATTTCTGCACAGCACAACCAAAACTTAAACGGAAAATATTTAATCAAGCAACACTCATAAGCAGGAGAGACTTGGATGTACTTAATTTTAGAAAAAGTCACATTAAAAAACCTTGACTTAAAAAATGAAGGATTACAAACAATCCCCTAAGTAATTCCCCTTTAAAACAGAACTCCGTAAATAAAGATACTACCTTTTAGGAATGCCGTCTACTACAGAGGCTGTGCACCTTTATCCAAACTTCCTTATTTATAACAGATTTAAAGTAAATAATAATACAAAAAAATCAACCAAGGAGAAGCCAAAGGCCACATTACTGCAAAACATAAAGCCTCGTGGAAAGTTTTCACACAAATGAGCCAGCCAGCAGGAAATGCCACTTACCCATCAGGCATGAAGAAAATAAAGAGAGCAAGAAGGCTCTGGTAAAACCATTTATGTATTAGGAGTTAAAAAAAATTAAAAAAGCAGCAGCATCTGCCTCTGGAATCAGGTATAAATCAAGCAACTATTCAGCCAAAATGTCAACAAGCAGTAAGGATAAACCTAGCCAAGGGGATTTGTTAATAGTAGAAAATTTCCAATTTATCTTAACTACAAAATACAAGCCCTTCCCCGTCAGAAATCAAAAGTGAAAGTATCAGAATATGTACTTTCACCACATTTCTATGAAACAGGAATTATTGCTGTAGGAGTGTAAAAATGGAATCAAGACTAGAAACACACTCAAGTTGATAGTCAACTAAATGGGGAGCCCTAATCTGAGCCCTAGTCATCACATTAGGTAAAAATCATAATTCAGGGATTGTGTCCTCAGTTATGTAGAAGTTAAATAGTTCACATTTTAAAAACAATTTATCATTACATTATCAAATTAGATAAAATCTTATCAAAACATCTAAGTATTCAATGTAAATCACGCTGTTAACAGTGTAAGGTAACATTAAAGAAAGCTGCTGAGCTGCACGTGTTTTCCGTTAAATATATACAACGTAACACTTAGACCTACATAAATTCATTCTCACCAAGTTGATTTTTATAAAGGCATACTTTGTGGAACATAATAAAATTTCCCCACCACCACTTTACTGTTTTTATTCCAAAATGCTCATTAGGTTTTAACTTTCTTTGATCATCTGTATGTAAAAGTTACAAAGTTTTACAATACGTAGTCTAACAGTAACGTGTTTAAAACTCTAAGCAAAGTGCATATTACATTACTCAAACTTCTTGATTATGGTCAAATAAAAAACAAATGAACACTTCATTCACTTAAATCTAAGGAAAAAAAAAATAGTACACCTTGCTTTTAAATAAGGATTCTCCAGTAGGATAATATATAAAAGATTTTCCATGTTATTTTATTAAGTTTACTTTCTCTCATTAAAACTTTTTAAAAGTCTAATGACGGGCACAGAATTACAATGCCATATTACACAACTACAGTATTGTTAATTAAATAGAGCAGCCCAATAAGTTGTAAACATTTTAAATGTAGTAAACAAGACTTGGCATGTCTTCTCCCCAAAACTTGCCATTACAATGCTCTTTCTATGAATAATTTTTCTTCCTGGAAAATTTTCCAGGTATATTTTAGTCTTTAAAAAATAGTACACTGAAATAATATGGGGAAAGATTTAGTCATGGCAATTTCACTGAAGCTTTTATTGCCTCTGTTGGTGACATGACAGGGATTGTAAGAAACACAGTTGAACTTACAGAGATAATGCAGATGATATTCAATAATCTTGATCTCAAGTATTTTTATATGTGGGCACTTCTAATTTTATACATCTTACTATTAAAAAAGCGTTACATTTTAAAATGTGTACCTGTTTTGACATTTGGCAAAAAGGAAACTGTACCTGTGGTTCAATTTAAAACAAAGAGTCAGCATGGGGTGTTACCAGATGAAGACTGCGCATTTACGAATTAAAGCAATTCAAGTCATGTGTGCCTCCCTTTCACACTCTCACGGACACACACACACTCACACTCACACTCACACACATGGCCATATGTGTAAGCATTTTTTAGTACAAAATATTCCCTGTGACCAGGCATTTATCCTCCGAATAATCACATCACGTTCAGCCTTCTCTCTTCAGCCCGAGTAATTGTTTTCATTCTAAGATGCCATCAGAGTGAACAGCCTTAACTTTTATGCTACATAATTATACTCAAAAGCTTTATGTATATTCTTGTTTATAATTACACAGTAATTATAAATGTTCAGTACCAAACTGGTGACAAGCACTGTTTTGTTGAAAAGGTCTCGCATTTAAAAGAAAAAATTTTTAGAACTCCAAGGCACTGGGCCACGAATTAATATCAAACTTTTATGAAAAACAATTTATGTTGGGGGGAAAAAAAAAAAAAAAGCTAGTGTGATGTCATTGAAAAACACAGCATACTTGAATTAATCAAAAAAACAATACTATAACTCAAAATCTTCAAGACAGGAAATAAAACAGTCCATACATATATATATATACCTTTTAAAATTTTTCATAATTGAAGTTCCTCTTTTTATTTACAAAAATGAATTCAGGAAATACTGAAAGCAGCAGGATTCTCCTTTTTCCTTCCTTTTTTTTTTAAATAACCAATTCCAGTAACCTGAATAGAAATTTTCAAATTTTCCTTTTGGTAGAATTGTATTCTTGAATTAAAGGTATGATTGGAATATTAACATAATATCTACCGGGAAAGCTTTCTAGTCCATTTCAAAATCATGTAGGTAAAAAGCAGTTTCAATATGTCACTGTTTCTTAAAATCACTTCCACAACTGCATAAACTGTACTGTTATTCTCAAGTGTATCCCTTTGCTAATTTAAACACCTGGCCTTCAAGAGTGCCTGGATATACCAAGCAAAATCTATTCCTATTACAGACCACCGTCATCCAGCATTTGAATTTTAACGTTTTTTAACCTGCTTTATGGAAATGTTCAAGACAGCAGTAACCCTTCCTCACACGTCAGTTAAGTGAGCAGAGAAACGAACGTTTTCAGCACGAAAGCAGCTCCTGGGTCTTGTAATCAAAACAAGACAACATTCTGCTTTGATGCGAAAACTGAACTAACTGGAGTAAAACAAACACAATTATAAGAGATTAAATAATTTAAGAGAACAGAAGCCAGACCGGAATTTCTGCATTAAGTGTACACCTGCTGGAAAATCTCTGCTCCTGAAGTACATACTTGGCAACCACAGTGATTAGCAGTTACAGTAATTTCAACAAAATAAGACGTCACCAAAAATGGACCATCTGTCTGAAATAGCAGTACCTATATTATAAAGATTGAACTTCATGGCTCATCACAACCATTTTCAAAATTTAATTCCTACTATCTTCTCATAAATGAAGGGAATCTCATTTGTGTTCCATAGTGCGAGGACTGAACACAAACAGCAAACCAGAAAATAAACCCCGATGCCTAAATGTAGGATATTGTATTGTGTGGCGATAAAACATTCAAAACAAATTAAATAGTTTAACTTATCTGACAGGCATATAAGCATTTCAAACTCATAATGAAATCCAATCACGTAACGCATAATGTAGAGAGAAGTGGCGCCTAACATCATGCGGGCATGTTCTAAATAAAGTTCCCTGTGGAGCAGATACGGAGAAACACAGGTGAGGGCGGACTGTTCTGTGGAACTTTTGTGAGACCGTGGGTCTGAAGCACAATAAACTTTTCAGGTAGGCACCAAGTTATCCTAAGAATTTTTCACGTCGGTTATTTGTGACATTTTTTTCATGAGATACTCTATTCACATCAATAATAATTGTGATTTGCAAAAAAAAAAAAAATTCCCCAAAACCAAAACACCATTTCAGATCCGGTACACTTAAATATATCACTCTCATTGGAAGTGCTATCAGCGTAGTCTTTGCAACTAGCCCAAAGCATATATTTAAGAAGTTTTTATAAATTGTTTGTGATGTTCATATGTTTAATTCTTACGCCAAACTTTCCTGATGAAGACAGCATTGTGCTTTATGTGAGAATGGAAACCTCAAAAGAATCACCATAAAGCTTCTAAGACTTATGGGAGAATAAACTAGGATGGTCCACAGATATCAGATGAACTCCACAATGTTGGAATTATGAATGTTTAGAGCGGCCCAGACTAGAAGACAAGCCCAAACCACCATCAGAAGAATGAAATACGATATGGTCCAAGATGTATCCTTAAAGTTTCGTCTCAACCCTCAGCCTGCACTGTGAGGATTGGTCTTCAGTTCAGTCCAGCCAGCAGAAATTGACTGTGCAATTTTCCGTTGTATTTATTGTACAGACTATGTACATTCTAGAAGGTTCCTTTAGTGCTACACTGTCGTACTTTTTGTCCCAGCAATTTGAGGGCGTGCAAATTCCACAAAGTCATCAATAAGAACAGGCCATGCTCCTGGAAAAAAGAAAAAATATGGGAGAAAAGAAAGAAAGAAAAAGCAGAAATAAAGCTAACATTTTAATAGAATGCTTAATTTTTTAATATCTTCCCCATAAGAGTTTATCATTCTTATTCATTCCTACTGAAAAGAGTTCCAAAATTCTAACTTTTCAGAGTTTCTACCCAAAATATTCCTTCCTTTCTTTCTGCTATGTTAAGCCAACGTTTGGTCTTTTCTTCAGTGATTAAAAACTTTTTTTGACAACCAACCAAAACTATTAAGCTTTCTACAGGCCACTGAAGGAACCCCAACAAAAGGTCAAAACTGGTGGTCTAACGAATGGCTGTGGTACGATGGCAATGCTGTCAGTGCTGAAGGCATGCTAGGGGGAAACAAGTTTTCAGACATTTTGTGGCAATCTTACAAAGAAAACTAACAGTGATCATCAAAGTTCATCCTATTTCATAATAAATTACTAAAAGATTTTAAAGTACAAACACCTACTCCTCACTTAGCATCTCGTTATCCGATATTTCACATTTATGACAACAGTAAAAAATCTACTACCCGACTATTTTGCACATTAACAACATGTCTGGCAGTAACAAATGCTGAGGCGTGAGGTGAGAGTAATGCTGCCTGTGCTGGTTAAGATTATGTGTCAACCTGACTGCGCCATGATTCTCAGTGGTTTGGCAGTTATGTAATGATGTACTCATCCTCCATTTTGTGATCTGAGGTGGTCATCCTCCATTTTCACACAACACTGATTTTTGCATAATGACCTGGTCTTTGGAACCTAACCACGCTGATAAGTGAGGAGCAGGTGTATATGCATGCCCCTACGCATCCACACACCAACCTCTAAGTCAGGACAGTTTTCCAGTTTTTTGAAAAGCCTTCTAGAAGGCTCTGCTGTCAGTCATATAGAAGAGTAAACATCTCTAATTTGTCAGTGAAGGCTATAAATGACAATGAAAAAAGGGGGGAGAAACAACATGATCCCTGGTTAACTTACAGGATTCCAGGATACTCTTCAGGAGGCCAAGGTTGCGAGAGATTTTCAAAGAACACCTCTGTCTATTCAACAATCTCAGAAATCCACCCTGCTAGTACTCAAGGGGGACCACGGAAGTGTGTGTGAAGCTACTGATGTAAATCACTGTCACTTTCGGAAAAACAAAAGTGCATGTCCTGATGGTGGATGGTAGCATCACCTTCATACATAAATGGAGACGTACCAGAAAAGTGTTCCGTTTGTGAATATTTATTTAATGCCTACAGGGCTACAACTAGACAGCTATAGTACATTCCAGATTGCACAAGTCACTCAACTCAAGGAGTTTGTAATCAAGCTTATATACGAGACAAACAAGTAATACAAAATACATACAAACAAGAACAAAAGTACATCGAGACGAGAACAGGTACCTAAAGTGAACTGAAAAGCTAAAACATGGCTGAAAATTACTCATGCCTTTCTGGTACACACGGATATGGAGCTGGAATTTAAATACAGGATAGAAACTATAAATCGATACAGAGGATGAAGGCCATTTCACACATTCAGAAGAGCACAAATACAAGCTCAGAAGATGGAAATCCACCTCCAAGCAGAAGTGCACAAGAAGTTCAGGAATGTGCAATAAAAAGAGATAAGACGGAAACAACTGGTAGGACAACAACTTTCATTACCTTCTTCATCGTAATTAGACATGTCGTCTGCAATCATCGTACTGAAGTCTAAAAGGAGATTCCAAGTATCTTTTGGTATTGATCGTTTATGATGTTCCTAATAAAAACATACACATTCAAGTCACTAAAAATTGTTGGAGAAAACAGTCTAGATAATGCCAAACAAAAGAATGCAAAACAACTCGTGTAATAAAATCCTAGTCATCAGTTTTCATTCTATGTTCATTACGTGTTCGGAAACAACTTACTAATGCTTTAAAATGTGTTCATTGATTTTCAAACAAAGCCAGAAGAGAAAACATACAGAACTGCAAAAAACATGAACTTACCAACAAAAATTTATTCCATAAGTCTAAGAATTTAAATCTTCCATTAAGCACTAAATTCCAGTAGGCAATGGCCATTTCTAGATCTGTAATATTAAAAATAAATTATGTATTTTAATGCCATAAATATTTGCACCTACAAATGATCTTACAAAAAAACAGGCGAGACAAAAAACCTAAAAGGAAAAGTTTATACCCTGAGTACTTGTGCATTAACAATTTCCTATAGAAAGAAGCCCAAGCTTTGTATCTGCCTCCATCACTGAACATCAGTCCCCTCAGGCCTACAGGGTAAGAAGAAAGTACTTACCTCACAGGGGTGTTATGGAGTTTAATTTAGATGACGTAAATAAACTTGTCTGACTAGCTCATAAGCATTCAAGTATTAATGGACACCAGGATTTCTCAACCTTGGCATTTTTTACATTTTGGGCCCGACAATTCTTTGTTATGGGTACAGTAGGATGTGTAGCAGCATCCCTGGTCTCCATCTAATAGATGCCAGTATCATACCCCTCCCCCTCCGTGTTGACAATCAAATATGTCTCCAGATACTTGTCAAAGGTCCCCTGGGAGGCAAAATCACCCCAGCTGGGAATCACTGATGTACACCTATAGGTTGGGAAGCAAAGGACTTCTACCCACAATCCTATAAAACCTTTACACTTCAAGTTGGTGGCTGACTGATGCTGATCTCAAGAGGTAACCTTTAAGAATATTAATTACAAATTAAAACTAATAATAAACTCAGACTTGCTCGTTTTAAAAGTTTACTGAAGACAATACAAATGGCTTTTTCATAGGGTTTGGAGCGGAGTAAGGAGGCAAGACTGCCACGTGACAAAGACGAAGAACTACACCTGACCTCCATGACGGAGAGAAGAACTGGCTTCTTTCAAGGAACTGAAGTAATTAAGAAAGTACCTAGCCTTTGTAAGTGAATTTACATCTCCAGAACAGGAAAAATTACATCCCAAGTTACTTAAAAGCTCTTTTAGGTGTGCTCTCAAGATCACTCTTGATAATGTGTGAAATCGTGAGAGACTGGAAGACTCCAAGGGGCCAGAAGATGGGCGAGCGCTGCCCCGATTTTTTAGAAACACTAAGAAGGGATCATCTTGATGCTAACCCACTGACAAAAACAGATGATCCACAAGAAATGGACTAAACACCACAACTGTGAGGAACTGCAGGGTTCACTAAGTCACACAAAACGTTGAGAATTCCTGGAGTGGTCGAAGAGGCAGGTGATAAACCCTTAAATGATACAGACATGGCTCTATCATATGGAGATAACCTGAAACCAGGATAATGACTAGTCATCTGAATAAACAACCACTTCCCCAGCGTTAAGAAAATAAAGTCAATCCACAGGAAGATCTCTCAGGAATGATTCTGTTGATAATCCTGTTCTAGCCAACAATTTCATCAATGACTAGAGCAAAGATACGCTAGGCATGTGTGGGGTAAAGAATTTAACTTTACCCAAAGAATTTGGTCTTTGTCCTTAGTCCCTGAGAGACAACCTCTCCCCAGTGACTGTAGTGTCTTTGATGAGGCCTCCAGACCACACCTGAGGGTTTATGCTGAGGAGGTACCTCTTGCGGTTGCAGGGTGGGGAGAAAGGTACCATGCCAGATGAAAAAGACCCACTCCCTGATATCAGCTCCACCTCAAAGGAAGGAGGGGGTTGGGCTGATTCCATCAATCATGCCTATGTACTGAGAGCCCCATAAAGGTTCTGGACACAGAGGCTCCATGGAGATCCTGGTTGGTAAAAGATGGACGTGGGGGGCAGTGCGTCCCTTGTGGGACATGGAAGCTCTGCACTGAGAACCTCCCAGGCCTCACCCTGTGTGTCTCTCATCTGTTCTCTTTTCACTGTAATAAAAACTGTAATCGTGAGTACAGCACTTTTTAGGGGTTCTGCAAGATGTTCCAGAAAATGATTAAACCTGAGGGAGCAGTGGGTGCCAGCTGGTCAGAAGTGGTGAAGCCCTGGGAAGCCTTGAGCTTATGGCTGCATTCCTGAAGGGATAGCCAGTGGGTCAGACACAAGGGTGTGATAGTGACTCCCAAGCTCACCGCTGGCGTTTGAGGTCTTGGGCAGACTTGGTGGCCTGTGTGTCCTTTAACCTGTGACCTCTGACCTGGCTCTGGGTGGTTAGGGTCAGAGGGAGAAGTACTGCAGGTGCAGCTGGGGTCACAACACAAGCGGAACAGAGGGGAAGAGAAGTGATAATAAATTGAGTTAGATTACTCAACAGGGCATGGTTTCCATATCTACAGAAAAAAGGCAGAGGGATGGCCAGCACAATAGATTACTAATACCATAAAGCAGCCTCATCCTCTCTGCTAATCTCCCTTCTGAGGGGTACTATCCTCACAGACACCCAATTAAGAAGGGACTGAAACAACTTTTTATCAAAATTCTGCTTGGAATTTAACCAGTTAAACCCATCTATACCGGTCCTGTAGGGTCACGAGGAGTCAGAATCAACTTGACAGCACACCTGACAATCCCATCTATTATCCCTAACTATTGCCAAAAATGCAAAACACCTTTGGTTATCTCTTTGCTACTGTCATCCCAACCTTCACAACTGGGATTCTTTCCTTGATTTTATTTTCTCTATTTGCCTTCCTTCCTAACCCTTCCCACTATGCCCTCTGGAATGCCCACCCTCTGGAATACCCATTACGACACAACCAACCTCTCCTAGATCTTGAACGTTTTCAGAGAAGGTTCCCTCAACCTTCTTGTCCTGCCTGAAAGCCTGGATCGACCCAAAAGACACCGACCTCTGGCACTGCTCTCAAGTGGCAATGGATGATTATCCCTCCCACAAGAGCATGGACATCTCTTAGATCACCACTGCCACCTCTACACCATTATTCATCCACCTTGACGGACATACCTGTCCTGCTCCATAAACGCATACCAGCTAGCGCTATCACATGCCCTGCCTCATCTCTATCATCTACCAAGCTCCTACTCAAACCCTCACATTCTGAGGTCTTTGGCACTCGGTTCACAGTCCTTCTTGACCCCAAGCTCTGCCAACATCCTGAAATTCTTCAGTGTCCATGTGAAAAGTCATACAAACACTGTAGCCTATTAGAATTGTACTCACCTCTGCTGTTGTTTGTTGTTAGGGGCTGTCTAGTCGGTTCTGACTCATAGCGACCCTGTGTACAACAGAACAAAATACTGCCCGGTCCTGCGCCATCCTCACAATCATTGCTATGCTTGAGCCCACTGTTGCAGCCACTGTGTCAGTCCACCTCATTGAGGGTCTTCCTCTTTTTCACTGATCCTCTACCTTACCAAGCATGATATCTTTTTCCAAGGACTGGTCCCTCCTGATAACACGTCCAGAGTATGAGAGACAAAGTCTCACCATCCTCGCTTCTAAGGAGCACTCTGACTGTACTTCTTCCAAGACGGATTTGTTCGTTCTTCTGGCAATCCATGGTATATGCAATATTGTTCACCCACACCCACCCACACCATAATTCACTGTAAAACTCACTCCCCAAGACCATATCCTGAACCTTAATGTTTTTATCACCCCGAACTGTTCTGACTAAATTTTAAACTCCAACATCTCAGATATATGTTTATCACTGCAGCTCAGCTCTCTTTCTCCTCTTCCCACTGTATCTGTTCTTTACTCTCACCAAGAGCTGGGAGCCCTCCATTCCTGTTCCATTATGCATTACTTCAACCACATCCTGGCTATATAACTGCTACTTCCTTTGCCTCCTATCTTTCTGATACAACTGTTTTTGCAAAGTTCTAATCCTAGATGAGTATAACCTTCAGTCCACATCAACATTAATGTCCCAAATTAACCTTCAAATTTAGCAAGGCTCTCCACTCTTTCACCTGTTAAAAATAGCCACCTCTCCAATTTCTCCTAACTTCTTCAATTTCCTCAACTCCCTACACCACTTCTCTAAGCAGATAACCTTACCTCCTACCTCAAAGAAAAACATACAGGCCATACGGCAGAAAACCTAAGCCATCTTTATTTGACCTAAACCTCTTCAAGGATAGGGACTACATACCCTACACCATAGGAGGCATTCAGAAACTGCTGAATGAACTTCTATGGCTCCACATAAACATTCAAACTCACTGTACTCCTCTTCCCTCAAATTCAACAGAAAAGGTGCCTCTTCTTTCTCTTATCCAAGAATAAGCCCCTTCTACCTCTATTTTGGATCTAATACTGTCCTGCCTCGTCAAAGGTCTTGACTATTGATTAGCTTTCTTCTCCCCTTCTTCTCTATCTTCAGCTTTGCCCTGTCTTTCGGCTCTTCCCCTCCACGAAGAAACATGCTCCCATTATCACCTATCTTTTAAAAGTCTTTCTTAGATCTCTCATTCCCTTATTAGTGCCCCTCTTTCTCCTTTCCTTCACAGAGAATCTTGAAGCAGTACATACAACCCTCTACTTTGATACATAATTTGTTACTGAAAATATGATCTAAGAGAACTAAAGAATATGACACAATGCCTAATCACACTTCTTTTTAGACACCGTCTTTAAAGCTGTGTAGCCAATATTCCTTCCAGGTTCTTTAAGTCTGTTCTTTTCTTTACCAATTAAACACACAATGGCTTGGCTTAAGTGCAGTAAATGCTCAGTTGAGACTGAAGATCTGCTGCGATCAGCATGCCCAGTGACTGCCATCCTCACTTCAAACGCATGTACATTCCTGAGAATTATAAAGCTCATTACCCGTGTCACCACTGTTTCCTTTTCAACTAACTTTTTTTTATAAAATAAGGATAAGAAACAAATGCAATATTCAAATAACCACATCAGCAGACACACACAAATGCACTTTGTCAGCTGATGTGCTCAGGTAAGAATCGACAAGAGTAGAAGCAAACATGCACGGTGTTTGAAAGTTCAGGCTGTAGATCTTTTTGTAGTCTACATTAAGTGCCCCATTTCCTCGCCTCCCACTCCATCCTCAATCCACTATAAATCAGCGTACACCATCAACACTCATCCCACTCAAATCAATCTCCGGAGGGCCACCACCACATGGCCGCCAAACACACACTTTTCTG